ATCGGGTAAATAATCTCCATTCACAGAGGGAGGGATGAAAGGTGGAGCCGTACATCTCAAAAGTGCACAATTCACTCCTTGAAAGAACGGATGGCGTCTAATTGGCGATGAGCCCATTTTCGATCCCATTCGGTATTCTGGATCTTTAACAAGCAACTGAGATGTTAAGTCCTTTGCTGTGGCGAGTATAACAGGCTCTTTGGAAACTCAAGGGCTCGAGCAATGATGTTCGCTAAGGTTAACTCGTCGTCCATACCTCGAAATGGTGTCACACTATAAAACAACTCGAAAATGAATATCCCTAAGGTCCACCAGTCCACTGCACTGCCATGGCATTCCTCGGATACTATCTCTGGGGCCAAGTACTCGTGGATCCTGACAAACGACATCGATCGAACATCAATCGGCTCGGCCACAAGTTCCCGACCTGCGTGGTGGCTTTGCTTCTTTTTATGCTTGCTCCTAGGATGGAAGCATGATACAAAAGGGACTATATAGTTGGGAAGAATGCTAGAAGTTGAGCCAAACGAGGGTGGCTCGATTCTATATTCGCTTTGTGGTAGTGCATTGGACTTATTTTGAGTAGAAATTACTTGTACCAATGTAGACGTTGAGTCATCACACCTTAAAGAGAGGTCAAAATCAGTCAACATTATATGACCATCCGCTCGAACTAATACATTTTCAAGCTTGAGATTACGATATACGATTCCCATCATGTGGAGGTACTCCAAAACAACCACAACCTCGGATGTGTAAAATCTGGGATTACATGAAATTAAAAGAACAATTAGTAATTGATAAGACCTAATTGTTATATTATACGTTAACATTACAATAATGAGTATTTTTTTTTTTTTGATAATCATGGGTATCCGGGCCAACTTGAGCGCACCTCAACTAATCTCACGAGGTCCTGAAATTTACGACTCGGTACTTATCTTAGTGGCCTTGAGGGGATTCGAATTGGTGATCATTTGGGAGCAACAAAAATGAGTATATTAGTCTATCATTTCTGAAGTTATAAAAAAGTACCAACTTTATTCGATGAAATGTAGGACCCTTCATTATGGTTCCTGAGTAATATAGAAATATAAAGAAAGAGCCAAGATCCTTTGCCCTACTTGTTCCTCTAAATTAAGTAATTAGTGTTTTTATTTAAAAAGGATTAAAATAACAAATCATCCAAAGGAATATAGCAATAATTTTATTTAATAGAGTGATACAATTATTATTTCATTGAAATTTACAAAAAAATATATTTCATCACATTAGAATCATTTAAAATTTTATTATATTATTTTAATAATTAAATGAGTTTTTATTATAGATATTTTAATGAGTTTTTGATATACATTATAAACACAATAATATTTAATAATTAAATACTTAACTAATTATGGTAAATTTACTAATACATAAATAGTTACTAAAGTTGAACAAAACTTGGTTTAGTCATAAGAGACACCCTGCTTCTACTTCTTCTCAAAATTACCAATTTAAAAAACTTTTTGAAATAATTTTTTCGGAGAGTCAATATAGGCGTAAAGTGTGGGCAAAAATGGATGGTCGAGCATTTCGAGAATTTCCTTTTCTGTCCTCGCTCTACCTTCTTTATTACAGCTCGCGAGTTCATTCTGGTCCATAACCTTAGCCGCGAAAAGAGCCACCGGGGAGGATTTAGGCTGCTCTTCCGAGGACGGTGACTTGAGTTTGGCTAAGTAGACGGATCCGATATCGCCGGAGCCGAGGCAGTGGAGAAAGCGAAGATCGGAGAGGGATAGGCAGTGGAAAAAAAAAGTACACTTAACATTAATTTTTTTGCAATTGGATACATGGAGTTTGAGCAATAGACATCTTTGTCTTTATATAAGAAAATTGTGACATTTCTGTTAGATGCATTATCATAGAATTTATGGCCGCACCATTCTTTAGTATGGCAACTTATCCCGTCTCCTTGTAAGTTACTATCAAGAGTGACTTAGGCAAGTTGAATATTGTATATGTTATTAGTTTTTTTCCATATCTAAATATTTTCAAAGTATTTTATTAAACTTCAAGTGTTAATAATTTAAGATTTTCAATATAATCGAATAAAATATTTAAATGCTGATGTAACTCGTCACATATTTCAACATATCAATACTATTTATCGAAATTGCCTCTTTTGCCATTTGAGTAAAGAACTTGACAATTCTCATAGTGTCTTCACCTCAAAGCAAGCTTGCTCAAACAAAAAAAGGAGTGCTCATATCTCAAGTATCTCTCGTATGTATTATTCAATCATGCCACATAGATACGATCAGTGACATGATTAAAAAACGGGGGATACGTAGCAACATTTCATTGGACAGTTAAAAATAAATAAAATTAAGCAAGCAAATAACAAAGGAAACTCCCGAAAAGGAATACTAACCAAAGAGCCCAAAACTCATTCATTTTCTTCCTTCAACCCCACCAAGTTGTCATCGTTGTCACACCACCATATAACTAAGTGCTTGTTTGGGAGGGATTTTTGGGTGAAGAATTGATTTTAAATAGTGATATGATGAGAACTGTGTGGTTGAAAAAGAAGAAAAAATTATTGATGTGATGGAAAATATTATTTTATTAAAGAATGCGTGGTTGAAAATGAGAATTGATTTACTATAGAATTTTGAGAATCCCTCCCAAACAGGGCCTAAATCTTGAATTCCTTTTTAGGATCGCGTATTTTCTGTATAAAAATGGATTGGAAAATGGTGAAAGTTTAGAACATTCTTTCAATTCCATCCCACGGAATAACGTTGATTTCCAGAATTCTTTGTATTCACAAATTTAAGAAGAGTAAGTAGTGCATAAATGATTTAAGGTATTAGTCGAAACACATAAATAAACCTAAAATTCACAAATTCAAACCGATTAGGGTCTAAGCACGAATGGAAAATTAACCAATTTACGTACTAAACAAGTAAAAAGAATGATTGAATTCATTTTGTATTTTAAGTGCGCATTATGACACAACTTCAGCTTAGTAACTCATGCAGACCAATAATTGTACATAACAAATTACTCGACGAGTATCATTAAAGTATGAAACTCAATTAAATATTATAATTTAAGACTTAATCATGATTTTCATCACAACGATAAGTGTGCTCACTAAAAAATGATCAAGAAATACCTAAAATCATCTATAAAAGGGTCATTAACACAACAAGAAAATGGTTGAAAATCAAAGAGTTGAAAAGTTAAAAGGAAAAAATTCTTAGAAATTCAATCGATCATGGCAAAATTAGGGTCGATACCTATAACGACTTGAGCCTCGTGCCCAAACCATTATATCATATGTCATGTTCGCTTCGATAGAGTATGAACTCATCTTAATTTGTACCATGATTCAAATTAAATCATTTATAAGGCAGCCGTCTTATATTCGAATTCTGAGGAATGCGACAGAAAGCCATGAGGGATAAGAGGGCAAATGTCCTCCCAAAGTGAATAGCACGTTAGAGAAACGGTTTGGACACAAGGCTAGGATAATTACAATATCCTCGAAAATCTTAATATTCTCCAATTAAAGTGCATTTTCTGGTTGAAAATCCATCAAAAACTTATTCTTTCCTCCTTCAAACAAAAAGTTCATCTGCAGACACACAAAATACTCCAAAAAGAGGAAAATCCTGGCAAAATTTAGACAAAAATTTGTAAGCCGAAGAAGCTAAAAAAACATTGTATGGAGAGACAACTAAAAATGTACTGTTTAATCAAAACCAAACAAATTGTACGAGCATGTTCGACGAAAAAAGTAGCATTCTTTTAAAGCCACACTCAAATGAGATTATTCAATTCCAGCTAAAACGCTATCCCAATCATCATCATGATCATGGTCAATCGAACTCTCACCACCACCACCACCACCACTACCAGCAGTTCCGCCAACAGCCACCACCATCCATAATTCCTCTTCTATCTACAGCCCTCCACTATCCCCTATCTCCATTAACATGACTGCACGAACACCTCTCAAACTGACACCTACAAATTATTCATTCAGAAAACTAAAATTTTATACACTCCTTATTAATGGCAACCATTCGTGTCCTTTTCCAACCCCTATTAGAATGGTATTAAAACATCGAATTTGATTTTTTTCCCTCACAAAATTTATATTTTTAAGCTCAAATGAGCAATTTAATTCAATTAAAACTCAAACTAGTAAAGAATTTCAGGATCGTTTATTCAAATGAATCACCATTTTCCAGAGCTTATGTTAAGGAATAAATTTACATTGGTTAAATATTAAAATAGTGCAACATACGAGGGTTTGATTATTTCTCTTGACAATGTTGATCTTTTAAGATAAAAAAAATACACGTCTTAATATTATAATTACTTTTTAAGTCCAATTTTAGAGTTTCTCTCACGGTGGTGAGCCCCACTGTAATTAACAAAAAAAAAAAAAATTATCCACTCACTCACTCATGTGTGAGTGTATGTAAATCGAACCACGCCTCTGTACACATAGCACTATCCAAATATTGACTCGACATTCTTTGAACCTAAACATACAGACGCAACGGACACACCCTCTCTCCTCACCCTTCTCACACACTCGCAGGGAGTACTTTACTTTCCTTTATTAAGGATGTGTTTGATCTACATTATTTTGGAAGAATGTATTTTAGAATAGTAGATTGATGGAGAATGTGTCGTTGGAAAGGAATGAAAAGTTATTGATGTGATGGAAATTATTATTTTATTGAAGGATGTATGGTTAAAAATAAGTAGAAAAATGAGAATGAAAATTTTAATTTGTACCAAATGGGGGCCAAGTCCCATTTATCAGGTTCGGTAATCTGACAAGTGAAGAGGGTAAAAAGTAAAGAGAAAGATAAAGTGGTAACGAAATGATGAAAAGAGAGAGAAGAAAAAAGAGTCTCCTCGCTCCTACTCTCCTCTGTGGTTGATATTTTACGAGCATTCTTCACTATGCTTTACTAAGCCAAATACCCAACAAAAATACTTCAAATAAATCCTTTAATTTTCCAAGAAAATTACATAGAGAAGCTATGGTGGGCTCAGGAGCAACAGACAGAAGCAAAGAAGCTGTTGGGATGATGGCCCTTCATGAGGCCCTCAGAACCGTCTGTTTAAATTCAGACTGGAATTACTCTGTCTTCTGGACCATTCGACCTCGCCCGTCTCTCTCCCTCTCCGTTCTATTTTAGTCTGTTTTTATGATCTATACACTTCCATTTTCTTTATTTTTATGCTAATTCTTTGTCAGGCATTTTGCATTTCTTGCAGGAGAGTTAGAGGTGGTAATGGCTGCAAAGCTGGAGATGACAACGGTAGCTTGTAAGTATTAATGAGCTCAACTAATCTTGCTAAAACAGGGGAGCCGAAAAGATAGATTTTTTATTGTGTTTCTATGAGTAATTTACTGTATGCCCTTGTTTGTCTGTTGCATTTTGTGCAGGATGTTGATGTGGGAAGATGGGTTTTGCAGAGGCAGAGTTACACAGTGTTTGGATGAGATGGATGGAGAGGATCCTGTCAGAAAAGCCTTCAGCAAAATGTCTATTCAGCTGTATAATTATGGAGAAGGGTGGGTACTCGGTAGGTCCTTTTGTTTTTGTAGATTGATTCAATTGGATTTTATTTCTGTACTACCCTACCCCTACCCCCCCATCCCACAAACTGATTGAATTTAGGGAAAAAAAAAAAAAAAAGTGAAGTATGGATTTATAGCTTATAAGTTGGTTGAGTGAAAAAAAATGGGTGCAGATTGATGGGGAAAGTTGCTTCTGATAAGTGTCATAAATGGGTTTTCAAAGAGCCAACTGAATGTGAACCAAATATCTCCAACTACTGGCAGAGTTCATTTGATGCAGTATGTATTCTATTCTATCCTTCTTTTCCATAATTGCTCATTTGATTATACAGCAAAATAATTGATTTTGGACCTAATTCTGCTAGTACTAGTTAGTACAGCTGTACAGGAGACAGTATTATGATTGTTGAGGAAATTGGAGTTTCATTGTCCCAATTATTGGTCTGATACAACTAATTGGTAATGAATGGTTCATTAATTGCAGCTTCCTACTGAGTGGACTGAGCAGTTTGAGTCTGGCATTCAGGTCAGAATCTATGGTTCAGGACTGTTATACTCGCTGTCCCGTGCTTTGTACTCTGTATTAGACAGTACTCGAAACTGTTGAGGAGGAAAAATAAACTAAAATTTTATTCACGATACAGTTTAGTATGGTCTAGTATACGGATATTTTCCTTTTCTTCTCTTGCTTAGCCTGTGTGCTCTTTGACATGATTTTGCCAGACTATAGCTGTTATTCAAGCTGGGCATGGCCTACTGCAACTTGGTTCCTGCACGATTGTGAGTTTTATTTATGAATTTTTCTTCTCTAACTTTTTCAATTTTGGATAGTCATATTCTTGAGTAAACCTATAAAGCATACAATGGTAACATGATGATCTCATTGACAGAATGTATTTTTGTCCTTTTCAGATACCTGAAGACCTCCATTTTGTTCTGAGAATGAGACATACCTTTGAATCCTTAGGCTATCAATCTGGATTATACCTATCCCAGTTATTTTCTTCATCTCGCAGCTCCTCGTCTTCATCCACGGTTCCCCTAAAGCAACCGGTTATGCTGATTCGTCATCCTTTTTCTGCATTTAACTCAGGGACGAGGCCAATCCCTCCAGCAGTTTCAATGCTTACATCTCTAAATTTTCAAAACACGGCTGGGGTTGGAATTCCACTTCCAAATCATTCGTCTGATATGACGGGAGATGGCAAAAACGATATCAAATGGCCAAATGGATTCACTTTCTTCAATGCTCTCGGTGGACAAACAGATGAAGCAAAACTTTTGTTCAATCCCGAGGTCTTTGTAAACAAGCACGACCATCAGAATCCAAACTTGGATTCCTCGAATTTGCATAACAGTGGCAATGCAAATCTCAACGAGTTGTTGAGCTTGGATAATCATCCCAAAACGGATAACAACTTTGAGGGGATCTCTACATTACCTGCGAGAATTACTACTCCATCTTCGTCGACTTCACCTGATCACCACACACAAAATCCCGGGGAGTTTAGGAATGAAGCAGGGATGTACTCTGATGTTATGGAAACTTTCTTGAAGTGAGTTTAGAAGGCTTGCTTGGAAGGATGAAGGTTGAGAAGTTGTAATTAGGAAAAAGCATTTACTCTTTGTGACACTTACCTTTGTTCAATTTAGTGCTTTCCATAATTACATGTTTCTGTTATCTTTGAAGACTTCTCAGAATTCATTGCTTACTCTGTTTCATCACCAAATGATTTAGGCAAAATAAAAAAAAAGAAGTTTTACATCAAAGTTGAACCTTCTTTGGAGAAGAATCGAAAAAGAATAATTATATACTTGAGTTAGTAGTAAGCTAATTAGGAGGGTGGTTAACCTAACAACTATGAAGAAACTGGCATGGGAGATGCTTGTTTGTTGTCTTGTTCATTAGATTTTCATTACACTGAACATCTCTTAAATATATGAACTTTTATGAAAGCACTTGCTTGTGCATTGGATAGTTGAGCGAACTGCATCTCGGTACTTTTTTGGGCAAGAAATCGTGCCGAGCGAGCGGTCAATCAATCTTCCATATTTGTAAATGTGATTGGAATCATTCGACATAAACTTTTGGTAGTAATTTCAAGTTTTCTATTTGCTTTTGAATGTTTAAACTGTAATCCATGACGAAAAAGTTTGCACACTAATTTTGATGATCCAATCTTATCTTGATCATGTCCAATTACCAAGTTCGATAAGAGGTTCATTTGTACATGATAATTGCATTGTACCGGGTGCAGTTTAGTGGTAAAAGTTGCCTGCATTTTTTGAAGTCCAAGAGCTAGTCTTTTCTTCACATTCATAAGGGTGGCAAAAGGCAAGTTTAGCCAACCCTAAAAACAGGCATTAAGATTTACTTTTTGATTGTTTAATGCTGATTCCTCTTTCACTTGATTATGTCTAGGACTAGGATTATACAAAGGAAAAGATTGACTCTAATTTCCTATAATCCAATGATGATAAGGTTTAAGTGGAGCCTCTACTTTTGCCCAGTATTGCAGCTATTTGAGGCGTGAATATACAGACAACAAAATGTCTCTATCGGTTGACTCCACCAATCTTGTTAATCAAATTTGGTTCAAACTGAGTTTTTGCACCATCTGCTTAGCATGACAAGTGGCTATTCCAATCTATCATTTCGACAAAGAAATCTATGTGTTTGTCTAGTTTTGTTGAATAATTGCGCTGATTGTTGTTGATTTGAGGTTTTGGTTTGACCGACAACACTAATCTTGAAATTTGATAACTTGTTTGAGTTTTAAATAAATTGAATTGCTTGTTGAGCTTTTTGGGCTCCGCTTACACATCAAATCTATCCGATAATATGTTTGATACATGTACTTCATAAGGTTTGGTACGTGGTATGAATAAACTTAGCTAGTCATAATCGGTTACAAAATTTAAATGTGTTTTTTGACATGAAATCATTGGTGGATAACAAATTTTCAAATATTGTAACTTAACATAAACTTATCAATCAATAAATTGATATGTCATGTCGCTGATGCTTAACATAAGACGAGTAGCGATGCTCATCATATCATTTCTATTTATCAACGGGACATCATTATCATATGCAAGATTTTGTTAAACCATCCATATTCTATGAGTTCTTCCTTTTTATATGATGCAAGAGCGTCCCAAATAGTACGCATAATCAGTACTGAAATTACAACTGGGCATAAAATCTTTTACAACATGACTGAAGATCAAGGATGTTAGGATTGATACAATCTGTTGTAACACTAATCACCGGATTGAGATGTTGAAGTTGTATGGCAAAGTAATAAAATTTTTGATCAAGAACAAAAGAATAAAAGAAGAAAAGAATATGACATAGGAATTAGGAGATTTTATTGCATCAAGAGTAATGGAGAAGAGAGAAAAACATTACAATGATCATACAAGCTAGTAATCATAAATCTCGCATCATAAAATTGTATAGAAGAACTTAGTATTTATAGGAAACATGTATGAGACGTTCAAGACCTCTTGGTAGAGTTGTTGATGAANTTTAATGTGGCGCCATTTTGGCGCTTGTCCCTCGGGTTAATGCTCCAAATAGTGTCTTTTAACATCCAAAAATCCTCATTCAAGTCAAATTTCTAATTATCATTGAAATTTGATCTTCATAACTTGACATAGGACTCCAGTAGCATTCAAAATTTGAATTCTTCATGACGTGCACTTCAATTAGAATTTTTCAATTACTTCAAATACTTCAACAAAAGAATTCGGGTCACACCCAAATTCCAACAAAGGAAAATAAAATTGGTCTCAATTATTTAGAAGCACTTAATTTTGTTATCATTATACAAGAAAACTAAGGTAAAACACACTTTATCTACATTGATTTGGATCTTTCAGTAATTCGAACCACACACAAAGGGCAAAAAAATGATTTATATAGTCGACTTCCCATTTATTCTGTCGTTATCGTGATCAAATCATGATTGTAATTCATCAAATATCGAATGATTGAAGGTGCCAACTAAATATTGATAACAAATCCAATAAAGATAATTTATGATGTTTCTATGGCATGGCATTTTTTACATGCTGAAACAAATGATCTCAAAACTTTCTTGCCAATCCATGATTTTCCATGATCAGTATCCTTTTCCATTTTCCTTGATTTCAACTCTTTGCATTCAACTTTTACTGATCTTGATCTTGAATCCTGATGCATCAAGACAGGCGCAGGCACGATAAATTGCCATCTTTGAGAAGAACTATATTTGTATTGTGGATTTAAAACAGGTTTTTTCCCTGGAATTTTTCCTCCAGTCCTCAAGATTTTCCTTTCAGATGTCTCACTTGTACTTGTTCTAGAACTGCTGCAGTTGCTGCTCCTGCTATTCGTGCTATTACTGCGTGACGACATAAGAGAATCCTTGCTGCTAATGCTGCTTGTTCTGCTCGTCGAACGCGAATAGGAATAATTATTTGTGGGATGGTTAAGTGGAAAAACATGAGGTAAGAGCTTGCCATTGAAGAACAAATGATCAGCTGGAGAGTTTGGAGAGCCTGGTTTTGTAACACAACCAAACTCAAATTCATAGGGATCTGAATCTCGGACTGCGATTATTGGGAACGAAAACTTATCGCCCGAGCTGTTTTTTCGCCTTTGATTTTCCATGATCTTTGCGAATATCTAGCATTAGGGGTCTGATTTATATGAAGCCAAAGCATAATGGGTGACTGATTTTCATAAAAAAGGGATCATGGAGAAATAAAAATGGACCCCTTGTTGGGCATTTTGATTAAGCTTTGGTGGTCTACATCATGTTTAGTATAGTTTAACTTTGCCAACTCCATTGTTGCATTGAATATTGCAGTGTACATTATGATTCATGGAGCGTGGGCTTATGTTGAACATGTGTGTAAATCATAGATTACATGTGTTCAATATTGATTAATTCGTTGTACAAAGCGTATTCTATCTTACTCCCCGATGGGAGTTCTTTTTACCCTATCCCCACGGTACTACTTTTGATTACTCAAAGGTATTTAGCCTTGCAAGGTGATCATTGCTGATTCACACCGTATTTCATGTATTCCATGCTACTTGGGTACCATAGCGTAAACTAATAATTTTTTGCTACTGAATTTTCGCCATTTAGGATGCAGCATTACAATGAACAAGATTTTGAATTTTTTTCCTTCTATCGTACTTCGGGTACAATCTAAACCATCCATACATCTTATCGTAAGAAAATCTCAAAGTAATGATGGGTTCAACGTTGCTTTCCTTGTCTATGGAAGCAAAGGCAAGAGCTTAGGACATTTTTGGGTGAATGAGACTTATTCAATTTGATCACAACTTTTTCTTGAGCCCCAAACATGGCGACAACTAAGGTGTTTGACAATTCAGTGTCTCCCATTAGGCCATCTATGTAGGACCTTTGCAGCCTTCTTTATCTCGTATTGCATTTGGGACCAGATAAGTCTGCTTTCATACTCTTTTCAGGCACTTCAATTCTCTATTAATCGACCTTGTTTTGGTCCAAAATGGTCATTATAGTTTTTATTCGTTGTTCCTATTTTAATTGTATTTAAGACTTTACGAAGGTGTAAAAAACTTATTTGTTCCATATGATTTTAAATAAGCAAAAAAATAGTAAATACAACTTAATGTTCATAATATTTATTCATTATAATATTTATGTCCTCAATTTTTTCTACGCATTGTTATAGTCAACGTTCCATTGATTAACACATTTTGTCACTAATACGATTTTTGTCCAAAGGTTCCACTAAATACAATAAATATTTGATATCTTATTTTAAAAAACAATAAATACAAATTTGCAACTAAATATTGATCACTTATTTTAAAGCACAATAACAAAATTTTTGAGCTAAAACCTTAATTAAAGACAAAATTTGTTAATTTCTGAAATGTTAAGGATAAAAATGTGATTTCAAGATATAAATATAATAATAAATAAAAATTAGAGACTTTTAGCTCCCGTTTGATCTACATTATTATCTCATTAAAATGAAAAATATGACCGTTATCCATCATATCAACATTTAAATTCAAATTTTCTCTCTTATGTGGGCCTCAATAACGGCTATATTTTTCATTCTCATTCTACAATGACCGTTATCCATCATATCAATATTTAAATTCAAATTTTCTCTCTTATGTGGGCCTCAATAACGGCTATATTTTTCATTCTCATTCTACAATAATTTGGTTCAAACAGGGCCTTAGTAAAATTATAATGTGGTGCATTGATAAAAACTGTAGTGTTCATATTTTAATTGTCCCGAAGGTTTTCAGTATTTGTTCATTGTCACACTTACATTTTCATTGGTTACATTATTATTTTTAACCTTTTATTAATTAACACATCTTGTTACTGATGAAGATTTTATGTTTAAATATTGTTGCTTTTACTGTCTCTTAAAGTTGATAGGTTATGTTAAGTTGTCGTGCAAAAATACGTCTTTGACCAAATCTTTAGTTCTCTAGTATACGTTTCTCCAAAATGTCGTACTTATAATCCTATCGATCAATACTAAGATCGTGTATGCCATAATCAAGTGTCGGAAATAATTTATATCTTTCTATATATAAAAAGTGCCTATTTAACGGAATTTGTTGGTTTAACGGAAAAACTAA